CGTATTATTTCGTAAAGTGTCAGCTACATATTGAGCTCCACGAATACCGATTCTATTAGATCTGAGGTCTAATAATGTGAGTGTCTGTGTATAGGAGAAAAAGAATATAATAGAGATGAAATAGGAATGCTGGCATCTTAGTTTTCTATACCAAAAAATGTATGAAATTTTGGAAATTTCTTAAGTTCGACATTACAAAGTTCATAAACCCCTTGCTATTTAGTAACATTAAATCTAATTTTTGACCAGCTTTTATTTGGTATAAAATTCATTATATACTCTTCCTTGGAATAGTATAATTTCCTATCCTGTATCTTGGGGTACCAGTCAAGTTGACCACCCTCATATATATATATATATATTAATTATCATATATAATCGTAATATTTTTATTTTCTCGAAAAAAAAACAAATTATTATTTGATATAGACACAGATACAAAGATATGGTATCAAAAAGAATAAAGAAAAGAGAAATATTAAGAAAACAAAATAAAGATATTACGATGAACGAACATGAACAGAAAGAGCATAGATAATCATTTTTTATTCATTCTGTTATATAATAAAGATTGAAGTCTTTTTATAAATGAAGCCGTAGCAAAAAGAGAACTTGTTGAACGTATTCCACATACGTGCTAAATATAAATAAGATTTTGCCATATATATATATATAACAATTGGATAGATTATTATTGGATTTATTTCAATACATTTTTGTATGAAACATATATAAACAGAAGAAGATCAATATTGGAGGATTAATATGAATATCTAAAATAATATTTATTTATTTAATTCTAGTAGATTTGAAAATAAAATTTTACCAAAACTTTATACAAGATTATGATTTTAGCATAATGATGTGTTTCTGTTTTTAAAAGATAAATATGAAAGATATATTTGCAAAATAAAATCTAAAAACGATTTATCATTGATTAAATGAGCACAATGTAATAATGTTTCTGTCTTTTTTGTGTCATGCTACATAATCATGAACGATTATATTTCGACAGTATTCCGATAAAGACATCTAAACTAAATAAAGAAAATTTCATATTATTATTGTTAATTATATCAATATATTTAAGATTTTTTGTTTAGGAACTTTATGTTGTATTACAGAAATAAGAAGAATTTATATTTTGAGTAAATTAATTTAAATCTAAGACATTTCTACGAAAGAAAAATGAATATAACAAGTAAGCATAATATTAAGAATATAAAAGAGTTGTTATTCGAATTCATAAACAAACATTCTAAGTATTCTCTTGTATATTTCTACGACTAGTCAAATTTTCATCAAAACTCTGAGAAACTTTTTCTTTTTTTTAGTACTGTCAAACTAGCCATATTTTAGCATATTTATTACTTTGTAAAGCTATTTTTTTTCAAGAATATTTACCTGAATATTAGAATCTTGCATTATTTTACATAATGAATCACATCAATGAGGCATTCGTAAGTCTTCTTTAATTTTATTCAGTAATTCTTATAATTTAATATCACCACCAGCATGATTTAATAATTCGCTAATAAAATCTATGATCAACAAAAGAAAAATTTTATCTTTAAAATTTTAATTCGATTAATTCTACCTGATTTATCAATAGATTCTTCAATTAATATTGTCCATAATGATTGACCACCTTTTTCATGACAAAATCTTAGGACTTCTTCAATATCATTTAATTTTTCGAGAATTATTTATAATGAAACACGTTCATTTCGTGCTTGTCCTATAACATATACATATATATTTCAATTTGTTTAGACAAAAAAAAAACATCAAATTCATACCACAAAGAAAATGAGTTTCATTATATAGTCCTGTTTTTTTATCACAAATAGCTAATACTTCTTGTAAATTATAATTTCTTGTTTTATGTCAAAATCTCATTAATTTATCAGGTTCATAATCAGCATTGAATGATACTTATTTTGTATGAAAATCACGAGAATTATTGAAATATTCTGAACAGATTCCATTGAGATGTTATGATAAAAAAAAGAGAATAATTAAGTTCTTCTATTATGAATTTATACAGACAGTAAGAAAATATCGAAAACTATCTTGTAATGCATTACAAACTGATTCGAACCTAATATTTTATACAATTAAAATAATCAAATTATAATTTGTATATACTTACAAGTAATTTATTCATATGATTAGTCAATAGATGAATGGTCAACCGTAAAACAAAAACAAAGAAAAAACTAAAGAAAGAAAACTTTCGAGAAAATTGAAATTCTAAACGATTCTAACTAGAGTTTTACAAGTCGACCTAATACGATGCATGCAGATAAAGTTTTAGCTTCAATTGTTATGAATCAATCGATTAATATCATTTTAAAATAGCTTAGCAATGATTTAAACACAACTTAGAAATGATTGCATACCTTATCATCTTGCTGGAAAGTACGAATAAATCTTTTAGAATAGACAGATTGTTGTATATTCATACTTCAAATTAAGTGATGAATTTTACATGATGTTTGTTATCTCAAATAATAATTGATAAGAGATTACTATAATATTTTCTTTTTTTTTCATGAAATATTTTAAAAACTTTCAATCATAACATTGAATGTAATAGTTATCGAATAAATAGTGTTTCACAAATAGGATTGTGCATAATCTTTTGCTAGGGAGATGAGGTACAGTTCAAACTCTATAACATATCAAAGTGAATTTCATAACAAATGAAAAATTGTCAAAAGCAAGATTCAAGACGCGAATAAGCTATTCAAGTATGAAAACTTTCTAAATTTTAGAGATATACGTAGGTTCAAAATGTTCAAAAATATTTTACCTATATCAACCAGAGCATTTTGATCCTAATGTCATTATTTATTGACCTAATTTAAACTTTTTTTGAACCAATATGATGAGCAAAGTGAGCTCTAAAAAGATTAGTTACGTAGATAACGCAATTCTGATAGCTTCATATGTTGTAGTTGGCTGT